ATTTGCACTGATGCAAAATTATGGTAATGCAAATTATTTGGATACAAGTTTTGATAAGACACAAAATAGATTAAAGTAAAATTCAAAATAAAATTAAACCAAAATTTGCATTAATTATAAGACAAAATTTTTATTAATACAAATAAAATTATACTCCAACCAAACACAGCCTAAGTTGTAAACAAGGTTTTCCAAATTGCATTGCTTTTAGTTAAAACACATTTATTTTTATTTTTAGTGATTAAAGTTATATGATCGTGATAGATCTATTAATAATTAGATCAAATATGAATTCATGCTTGTTCAATTTGGTATAATCCGATTGGGTTCTGTTTAAATATACTATGGCCCATTTGATTCACGGGAATAGGGGTCTGAAATCGAAATCGGAATGGGCTATTTCGATTTCAACTGTTTAGTTGAGCGGAATCGGAATCATATTCCCATTCTTGCTGGAATGGTATTCCCCCATTTGAGGGAATGGCTATTCCTTGCCCTTCCCTTGAGAATGTAATCCCATTCCTGTTGATTGTCATTTCCATTCCCACTCCTGTCTGAAGATTCTGAGCCAAGCAAGCTATGGGAACAGACCATTCTGATTTTGATAATGAAGGATTTTGATTTCGATCCTGATTCTGATTAAAACTGTGAACCAAACGGACCCTAAGAATTTAAATTTTATATATTATTAAAGTTGATTTGATGTTGCTAAGTTTTATACAAGCAAGTTCTAATTCATTTTGTATTAAAGTCATTTTTTATTCTTTTTATTAATAATATATAATATTTTATAATTTTAAGATTTTAACATCTTTATACTATTCAATATTGATTTCAAACCAAATTCTAGTCGGATAATATATATATTTAATTGACAGATTATATTAAATTTTAAAGTCTTCTTCATGTTTCCATCAATACCCCATTAAGATGTGTGATGGTCATATCAAATTATCATCTATGGCGTGTTCATATCAAATTAAATCACCCCGTGGTCATATCAAATTAAATAATTTGTGCCATCTCAAATTAAATCATCCATCGTGTGCCCTACCAAATTAAATCACTCATGGTGTGGTCATATCAAATTAAATGACATGTGGTGAGTTCATATCAAATTAATTCATTTGTGGTAGAGGTGTAAATTGGGTCATGCCGTTCGTGGCCTGACATGGCTCGGTATGATTTTGAGTCGGTCTCGCCCAATTTGACCCTACCTGATGGTGCATGAGCCGTGTCGTGGCCCAACACGATTGTATATGTTGATGGGCACCTGGCTTGGGATTTCAGGTCAATGGGCTGGGCCGGTACGACCCACATTGTTGTGCCGTACCGCTTGTGGCTCGTAGGCTGGTACGACCCGACATAGCCCATATATATTTTTCATATATTTATATATAATATATTATATGTTATATAAATTGTAATTATATAATAATATATAATATAAAATAAACAAAATTTTTTCAATTTTATTATGCTATTATATATATATATATACATATATATAAAAGTAAATGTATACATCAAAATTCATATAAAATTAAAATTTAATTTTTTTTCAATTTTTTCTTAAATAAATAATTTTGGCTCGGCCCATGGACCAGCCTGGCTTGGCTCGACACGGCATGTGCGAGCTCGGACCATGAGTTGTGCCGAGCCAACCCTCCAAAATATCTCATGAAAGGGAGACATGGCTCGGTCCGCATACGGGCCATGCCGTACGGGCCAGCACGACCTGTTCTACCCGTGGTGTGGCAGTATTGGTGATTTAATTTTGAATGGAGCCAAAACATCAAAAGGGGAAGCAAAATTAATGGGCACAATAAAATAATTATTATAAGAAAAAAATTAGTATACTGTACCATAAATTAATGGGAGAATAACTGTTTTCATAATTCTTGGCCCCACAGGGCTGTAACTTCAGATTTCTGCAATGGGCTATCGTGTACTTCTCCATAAATTAATCATTTAATTTACTGTGGACCATCACTATCTTACCAAACATTGATAGTCTTTTTTATTGGTATTTACACCAAGAGAGTATACTAAACTGAGGAATTGGACAGTAGATATACAGCTCTCTCTGACATTGACATTAGAATTGGGAAGACTGTTTTTCATTTTAATCTCAATCTGCATCTCATAATTTCTTACTTAACCAATATTTGTTATAAGTATTATAACCAAACACTATGTGTGAAAAATGAGAGAGGAAAAGTCTGTATGAGCTTTGTAGGAAGAAGATCCATCATTTCTCTTTCCTTTTTCCCATCAATAATAAATATTAATTTTATGAGAAAATATTAAAAAAATAGAAATTATTCAATGAGGACCAGAAAAGGGTGTAGGGGAATTGACATAGATTAACCTTAACTTTTAAATAATGTATCTAATCTCGTTTACATTAACCTCACACGGACCTAGAGGTTAAAGAAACTAAATAGATGGTTAAACGTTCGAATATGAAAAGGAAAATGTAAAAAAAAAAAAAAGTGACCTTTCTTAATGAATAGTTAGTCAGATAAACCAAATTAAAAAAGAAAAGTTATAACAAAGCCAACCCTCTCCTCCCTTTCTGGCTTTCTGAAGAATTGTAATGATCTAATCCCACTCATGTAAGTATAGTAACTACAATTAGAGAATACTCTCATCATTATTGTTAGATTTGCCCATGTAGGGTGGTTTAGTTATCAAACTCACTTCATGTTAAAAGACACCAATATTCTACACATAAGACATGTTGTAAAGCAGTAGTGCTGTTGTGGTTTTCACCTCAGTGGCCACTGTTCAGTGGCGTTGGCCCGTTGTGAGTAGTGAACTGCAACGTACGTTATTTCTTATGCAACTCTTTGACTGAGTGTGTATATTGAATTTACACTGTTGGGCCTGGGATTTTGGGCCAGGTCCATTCAAAATTTGACTATTTTGGGCCTGTTTACTAGGACTGATGCATTGGTTCAACAGAAAGCCATTTATTTATTTTTTTCTGACCGGAAGATAACAAGTTCAGATTCTTTGAAAAATTTCCCAAAACTTGCATTGTTTATATGTTGTCTGGATAGGGCCGGGCCCATCTCACAAATCCAAAAGCCACCATGGGAATGCCCTCCCAAACGGGAGCCACCGTGTGCTCATTGGGGCCTTCAAAATTGAAATGCCTAGTGTAAACCTGTCCCAACAAGACTAGGTCCATCCTGGCCCCCACTCTGGACCGGAAGTCCTAGTTTTCCTTTCCAGTTCCCCCCTTGTTTGGCTCCCCTAGGTACATCACAGGGTCCCGACATAACCAATAGCAAAACAACATAAATGGAAGGCAGGAGGGGTGGGGAGGTTTTGATGCATTGCCATCTAAGATGAAATGTGGCACATTTCAGAGTGACAAGTCAGATTCTAATTGCACAATTTTTTAAGTGCCTCATCAGTGTACGGTCTCTACACTCTACCAAACAATGCACAATTTGAGAAGATGGGGAAAAAATAATGAAAACACTATGCCAATGCCTAATCTGTACTCATCTGCCGACTGCCATATCTAATGTTCATTGGTTTTATGCGGTGGTGCCCCTGGCGCCTTGGTCTTATTGCAGGCTTCGAATTGGGTACTGGGTACATCTAGAATCCAGTGCTAAAGCCCATGTTATGCTCCGGCCCAACTTCTTTGGACTCGAATAGGGCCGGGCTGGACTATATTGTCAGTATATAATTGATATTATTAGTTTCGAGTTTTTAAAAACCGAGCTGAAGATCGAACCACTTTGATGCCAGGTTGTTGAGTCAGGGGTTCAATTATTTGGTAATTTGGTTCGAATAGATCAGCATGGAACATGTTAATTATAAAGATAAAAAGTAATTACAAAAGAATTGACTGGAAAATCATTCATTAAGGTGGTGTTCGGTCCTGTCCACGGGATGAATACCCGTTCGGATGGCTGTACACGGGACTGGTCCGGATTGGTCTCGTCCACACTCCAATATTTCATCCATAGCATAAACTCATGGTTAGGGCTCGTCCATACTCTATTTTTGATCCCCTGTTTCACACTCTCCTTGAAAGACTGAAACCCTATTATTTGTTTTACATTTTAATATTTTTGTCAATAAAATATTAATTATTTTACTTAACTTTTAAATTTTTAATATATTTATCAATAAAATAATATTTTTAAATATTTAAAATATATATATTTTTAAAATTTTAATTATTTTACTATTATTTTTATAAAAAAAATAATATTTATTGGTTAATATTAATTCATTGATGCATTTTCAATATATTTAGCATATAAAATGCAAAAATTAGATATTTATGATTAACTATGTAGATCAAGGTTTTCGAATCACTATTGACCTGGATGGTCGAACCGTTCGGCCCTAGAATCGTTCAAGTAAGCGGTTCTGTTTTATCCAAACCATTGAAAAAGTCAATAACCCGTTGACCTAGGCACTCGATACATTCAATGGTTTTTGATAGTTTTTTATTTTTAATTATTTTTTTTATTTTTTTAATTTGTTTGTCAGAACGGGCTGTCCATTTGAACTGGACGATTGGACTGTCAGCCCAAAAACTGGTAGCCAGAACGGTTCCGTTTCCGGGTCATTTTTACGTTGGTGTAGATCATTCATAAATATATATGAGATACACACACCACACCTACAGAACGCCACGGGTCCAATGCATACAATTTGTCTACAGTTTAAAACAGTTGTAGACTGTGGTGTGGTGTGGACCACCAATTTTTTTATCCACACTAAAGAACACCCCCAAAGTTAAATGATCTACTAGTTCAATTATTCATATCAAAAGTTCTGACCAAATCAACATTTTTTTTTTATAAAAGATGGTTATGGGGTGAAATATAATTGAATTTCTGACTTGTTTCTAAGTCGAACGGTCCAACCGTCTATGTCAACAATGAATTTAAAACATTGGTTTATTCAATTCTGCTGATGGAAGAAGCAACTACACCATGCATGGCAACAAAGAACGGAAGAAATTAATAAGATGAACTGATGAAGAGTTGGATTAAAATCAATATATATTACACTCATTATTTATAACAAAAGAAAGCAGTCAATTTAGTTGGGATCATTCACATCACCCTCTCCCTCGTCACCTGAAAACAGGTCCTTGCAAAGCTCTCCATAAAATCTACAAACCAAATCTGTAAAAACCGGAGACGTTAAATTCTTCCAACAGTAAAGAAACTCCTCCACGTCCATCAAATCCCCCACCTTCCCTTCCTCCACTATCATTTCCACCAAATAATTCTCAAAGCTCCGGCATGCATCCTTCAAGTCCTTCTGCCTTTCCACTTCCCTCTTGTTAATTGCCTCACAGATCCTAGCATAAGCCGGAGCAAGCGGTGATGATGGGAAGAGAAACCAGTCGAGTTCGGCGTCAGTTACACTCCTTAACTCCTCAACCTCCTCCATCTCTTCTTATTGTGTCGATGACAGGCCGGCAAGCTGAGAGTAAGCCACGAAGCCAGCTGCAGAGAGTGGTATCGACGGAATTTAACGGTTGTTACGAAAAAAGGGGTGTTTTTAGTCTGAGTCTGAATGCCTGTGCTCTACTTATTGTAGGAGTTTCCCGCATGCATGGCTTGAAATTGAAAAAGCTTGGATTCCAAGGCACTGAAGACCATCAGTTTGATTTGTGAATAATGAATGAGACTGGGAGTGAAATTGAAGGAACTAATGGACCGGAATTATGGCTTTTTGGTTGCTTTTGTTTTGGAAATTGGAAATAGTGTGTGAGTGCTTTTGAGATCTTTTGGTGAGAGTTAGTTTTTGAATTTGGGAGGGCGGTGGTTAGTTATACTCATGCCTATTGCCCAGTGCTAGTGGGGTTCAAAGTCTCAGGGTCCGTTATTTTTACCAAAAAAGAAAAGGTCTAAGGGTTTTTTGACATATAGCTAGGAATAGAGGTTGGGAATGGGAATCTAGACCATTCCGATTCTGAGTGTAGTTAGGAAGAATTAAAATCCCATTTTCAGTCTTGGTAGAATGACATTCCCCATTTGAGAGAATGAGAGAATGACCATTCCTTTTTCCTCCTCTGGAACAATTCTAATTCTAATTCCAATTCCAGCCCGAACCACCAAATTAGTGAAAGAATAGACCATTTGAATTTCCATTCTTGAACCCTCAGAATTGAGTTGATGAATTGAATGGGCAATGACAAACAACGAAACGATCCTTTTGCTACAATTCTATATATTACAAACTCAGGATTTTGGTAGCTAGCTAGGGACTAGGGTGCGCACTACACAGTATTATTAGGTTGGTGGTTGGAATTGAAAAAGGCGGGCCCTTTGAATTCGTGGTAATTGAAATTGATGACATTGTAATAGTTGATGATTCTTGATAGGTAATTTATTCCTCTGTCCCTGATGAACAAGATGATAAACAAGTGAATGTGAAGCACATTATAGGGTCATTAGGACCGACCAGTTTTATTTTATTACGCAAATATGATTTTTAAATAATGACTAGAGTGAGGTGATGGAGCTTAGCTAGTCTATGCTTATTAGAATCAAAGGGAGGAGTGGAGGACGTACAATAGGTTGTTTCCCTTAATTGTTTACCACCCCACTCCAACTGCTTTGTTTTTTCAATGTCTTGAACTGAAAGTAATAATTAAGACAGACAGAAAAGGAGAGATCTAAGGTTGTATGCATGGTTTTTAAAATTGAACCGGTCAGGGTCCGGTTATCGTTCGAATAGTTGGATCATTCGATTTGAAGGGTCGATCCGTTTTGATAATAAAAAAATAAAAAAATTAAAAAAAATTGAAAAACGGTCAAAACTGCTTGAATAGTTAATTGGTCGATTTAACGGTTTGTTGATCAAAATCAACAGTTTTAAAGAAAAAGTGATTTTGAGAAAAAATAGAACCGATCAAATGACCAATTTCCGATTTTACTGATTCGACTGTCCAATCCGGTCCAATTTTGAAAACCATAATTGTTTCCATTATAAACATAACTAAAGGCTCAGTTTGAAAAAAGTACAAATACAAATTCATAAGGTTTTGCACTCTCTCTATATATATTTGTACTTCTAAAGAATTAGGAGATTTAGCTTTTCTAGGCACAACATGAGCTGTTAAGACTTCCTATCAACATGTACTTGCAAAATGATATCCAAAAGAGAAATGAGGCGTCTAATACTAATCTGATATGGTGATAAGAGTCATGCATAGAGAGATTGTTCACTCCAGCTAATGTTTCTTTTTCTACCCCTGACTTTGGTTTAATACTTTGCATCTGCGAACATAATGGCTTAGAAAATCCAGGCATATAAGTCTTCTAATTTCATATTTCTTAACTTATTTCTATCTACATGAAAAACATTGCTGCCAAGATATAATTGTACACCTAGGTTCAAATAAAATTAAAAATTACATGCAAAATACAAGTATACCTAATATATAATATACATAGTATTATTGGGCCGGCCTCAGGCTTGAGTTGGGCTTATTATAAAAGCCCGAGCTTGAAGGGTTCCAGTCCTATGGTGAGTTGTATAGATACAAATTATGTTGGAAGAGTATCAGAACAGTTTCTATTGGGAGGAGATCTTAATTCCTGATGAAATGACTTTTTGATTTGAACAATAAGGGGTATCCCACATCATACTCATGCTTAGATGGACAACTTTTTGGAGCTTAGATTTCCTATTCACTTTTTCTATCCATTCTCTACCTGCCCTGAATTGCAGCCATACATTTCTTAGAGATGTATGGCTCCAATTTATGGCAAATAGAGAATGGGTAGGAAATCCCGAGTGATCTTTTTGAGATGGGAGATAAACGGGTAGCCCATACATATCTAAAAAGTAAAAACAGTGCAAATCTAAACTGAATACAAAGTTTGCACTCACTTGTGTTTTGCATGTGTTAGTAATTATGATTTGAACTCCCATTTTACAAAAAAGTTTACCTTTTATCTCACTTGCATTTACCGGCAGTGCAAATTTTGTATATCAAAAACTGATGCAAAATTTGCACCACTTTCCTATTCCCCCAATTCCCTCTTTAAAACGTAGGGACTGCTTTCCATGGTTTTTAAAACTGACCCGGAGACTGAATCAGTCAAGAGTCCAGTTATCGGGTTGAACAGTCGGCCCGTTCTTGACAAAAAAAATAAAAAAAATGAAAACTGGTCAAAATCGTTTGAACAGTTAACCGCCCGGGTCAGTGGTTTATTGACCAAAATCAACGGTTTTTATGAAAAATCTAATTTTGAGAAAAACCAGAACTGGTCACCTGACCGATTCCCGGTTTTTTCGGTCCAGTTTTGAAAACCATGCTGCTTTCAAACTCCTTCCTTCCACTTCCATTTTCTTTCATATAAGATGCATGGGGATTGGCAGATTGCACCATTTTTCTCCCAAACAAATAAGATGAAGTCAAATCCGAAGCAAAAGTAAATTAAAATTTACACTCCACCTATTTTTCCTTTCAATTCCATGCATTAATTAGACCAATGCAAATGAAATTGACACAAACATAAACTGAGCCCAATAAAGAACAATAGAGTTGGTCAATCTGAACCTAATGATAAGCTAGAGTAAGCAAGGAGAGGTTCTGTAGAAAAGTTTTGAGTCCCGATCATACCTGTTTCAGTCAATCTATATCATATCCATTATATTTATTTAGGTATTTGATTGGCAGCTATAACCTCTCATATCCACACCAAGGGTTTGAAAGAGGAAGAAAACATAGATTAAAAAACTGTTTTCTTTTTTCTTTCTTTCTTTTAATGAGAATGCATATCCATAGGCTCATCCACTCCCTGAGCCTAATTAATCAGTAGAATCCTGGTCAAAACTATTCTATTTGTGATTAAAGGTGAGATGAACAAATAACAGACAGTATATAATAACAAACAAACGGGGATTTGAACAGGAAGAACTCATGAAAAAAATTAAGGGGAGTCCTGACAACAGTGTGGAGTTACTAACAATTAATTAATCGTAGTAATCCTAAAAGCATAGTTAGATTGCTCTAACACAAGGTAAATGATGGCTCAAATTAAGATACCAGCCGCGCGCGAACATGTGTGAAATCTCCTTTTCATTAATGTCTTTGTGTTGTACGTACAGTTGTAGATAGGTGCCACCACCTGCCACAGACAACTTCATCAATGACCAACTCCAGGGCTTGGAACATCACCATGTCTTCTTCTGCGATACGAAATGGAGCTCTGTTTCCCCTCATCAACTACTCCATCGTGACCTGAGATCAACTTCGAATTCTCCTCCAAATTTAGAGTCTTTTGGGCAACTCTTCCTTTGAAAGTGTATCCAGCAATCATTCTCCACTCAGACGTCGAACACAAAACCACAGCTAAACATAGTAGTAGAAAAGATCGCTTCCAAGCCATTCTGCTTACTGCTTAGATATCTCTGCTCGGAAGTTGGAATTGGAGAGCCTGCTGGGACTAAAGGCCATACACAGTTAATAAAAAAACAATAAAGAAAAAAGGTGCCACAACTCACAATCCGGGTTGAATGATTTGAAGAGCACCATCATGACGTCAATGGTGAAAATACTACCTACCGTAATCTATATAATTAAAATAAACAAACAGTACCTAGCTAGAAATAGAATCCCAAATTTATATATGGCCTCCTTAATATCTCGTGCATGGGGTCCATGCACATTATGGACGTTTGAGTTTCTGGAACCCTCTTGGACACGACAATCCTTCCCTCCAAATGACTGATTAAAAAAATGAAGAAAGACAGAAGCATAGGTAGTGTATAGCGTGGCAATTAAAATAATGTTTTTTTTTTGTAATAGTATTTTTCTATTTCCTGATTTTTTATGTAATTTTTCTATCAAATACTAGATATATCATATATGCCCACTTTCACAATATTTCAATGTTACGCGGCCCATTTGCTCAATGCACGCGTCACGCTGCTTCAAGTTCTAAGGCTGAGTTTGGTTTCCTTCAAACCAAACATAGCCTGAAGGTCAATATTAATGCTGAATTAATTTCAGGAAATAAAAAAACCATAAATTTAAATAAATAACCAGTCAGAAGACAAAAATAAATATTTGCCATTCTAGCCATTTAATTTACATGTGTTAAGGGACTCGATCGTTTTTTATAATACATGCAATCTTGTTCAACCCTGGAAGGCTGGAAATTCAGATTTAAACACAAAATAACAGTTGTAACATATGGGAACCCCTCAATTTCTATATACATACACTCATTTACCATTAGGTTATGTTTGGCAGATAGAAATTAAGAGAGAAACAGAAAAATAATATGAAGTTCTTGAGGAATTTAATATCAAACCAAACACATGATTAATAATTGTGGAATTCATCACAACTTCAATGCAATCTAGCAAGCTGTTCTAGAAAATTTTCACGTGGCAGCTTGGTTGGTAGTCCAATGAGATTTTTGTCATTACATTTGATTATGTTTATTAGGCTTAGTTTGGGAATAGTGCAAAACCTTAAATTTGGAATTTTTTAAATCTTGTATCTGTACCAACGTTTTCGAACCGCC